AGAAAAAGGCAATTCTTAAATTCTGTATTTGATCTCCCTATTGGAAAGGGTCTATATGTTAAATTATATCATTTTGATGATTATCCAAAGAAGTGGTTATTAAATTGATGAGAATTTTTCTCTCTTCTCTTCTGTCTCTTTTTTCAGAATTACTGATTTAGGAAACATCAAAAGAAGATTGTATTTATCAACGGTCCATAAGGAACTGTCCTCAACCCCTCTTCATGCAAAAATCCCACTCTTCATGATCAAACGCAAAATTGTAAGTATTGCATGAATGTTGCCAGAAATATTAAATTCAATTCAGCAAATATTAATTATGGGCTTACTCTGTGTTAGAGGCACTTTGTTAAGGACCATTGTGGTATAAAAAATGAATAAAATTCATGGTCTTCCTTCCCCTCTCTTGAAAAAGCTTAAAATCTAAGTGGAAGAACATAATTATTTGAACTGATAATATCACCAAAACTGTAATAGGAAACACAGTGGAGAGAGAAAGTGCTATTGGTACTATGAAAGGGAAAGAAGTGCATCAGGGTAAGGAAAGGCTTCATGAGGGGGATAACACTTAGCATGGACTTTGAAGGACTATAAGACTTTTTTTAAGGCAGAATCTCGCTCTGTCACCCACATTGGAGCACAGTGGTGTGATCATAGCTCACTGTAACCCGAACTCCTGGTTACATCCTGCTGCCTCACCATCCTGAGTAGCTGGGACTACAGACAGATGACACTATGCCCGGCTAATTTTTTTTTTTTAATTTTTTGTAGAGATGGGGTCTTGCTATGTTGCCTAGGCTTGAACTGTACAATTTTTAACAGGGAGAGGTAGGAACCTGAATATTCCAAGCAGAAGGAACAGCATGGGCAAAATCGTGGAGGCTGGAAAGTGGTACATCTTTGGAGAACAGAGAATGATTAATCATTGTTGCTAGATTAAAAAACAACCTTAAGGAAACATTTGTCTTATGACACAACAACCTGATACAGATTTGGAGATTTTATGCTCATTG